GCTGCTTAACACACCTTGGGGTCCCCCAAACCAACCCAAAACTCCTTCAACTCCCTCCTCCAAAGAGCAATTGTTCATTCCTTTCAAACTCCAAACTGTTACAACAGCACACGCTAATGGCTAACAATACTGGAAGGAGGAAAAAAAAACCCACCCAGGGGAGGCTGTCAGGGTCACACAAAGAGCTGTGACAGTAATAGGCACCCTGACAGAGAAAGAAGGCGATCAATTATAAGCCGTTTGCTGAAATTGCTGCCTGTCAAAGCCTGCTTACAGCTGTGCTCCATCTGATTTTCATGGGAAATTATTCCTTATTCTACAGTCTAGAATACGCGAGAGGAAAGACCCCAGACAGCCCAGGTTCAATCAGGGTCCATTCTGCAAAGAAGTTAATGACCCCTGGAAAGATGAGTTGGTGCAGAGTGGGAGGCCCAAAAGGGAAACAGAGGCAGGTCTTCTCCCTCTGGGCAGCTGGGGACAGCACACGGGGGACCCCAAAGGCCCACTCCCAGCATACACTGGAAACGCATCCTACATCTCCAAATTCACCATTTCAAAACAGAAGAGGATTGCTTTTAGATTTAAAGTGATGCTTGCAGAGGTTAAAACCCAAACCAACACCAAACAGCAAAAATACAATTTTTTAATCTTTACATTTGAAACTTGCTCCTCCTTGTCATTATATCCATCAGAGTTACTCCTTTCCGGGCTCATCATTCTTTTTTTTCCCCCAGAAGCAAAAGAACATACAAGTGACTGCTAAGATGTTTTTTAATGTCCTGAAACCCACTATTACAGGTAGATATCTTCGTGTGTGAAAATAGGCGGGGACCAGGGTGGCTGAGAGAGGAAACTGACAGCAATAGCTTGCCAGGTTAGCACCCCTGTTCTGAACATCCGCATCCAAAGAGCGCCAACAGTAGCCGCAAGTGAGAAATCCCATGCCTGACCTCATGGGAGGGGTTGCAGTCAACACTGGGGTTGCGCTAAAAGCACTGTGTCCGTATTATCTTCAACCCATGTGTATACCAGTGCATGAAACATAAGTAAATTTTGTGTTAGACTTGGGTCCCATCCCTAAGACATCATTATGCATTTGCAAATATCCAAAATAAAAAAAAAATCCAAAATCTGAAACATTTCTGATCCCAAGCATTTTGGATAAGGGATACTCAGTCTGTATGCTTTCCCAATAGTTTTTCTTTTTGTGCTTTTAAAAAAAAAGATTTATTTATTTAATTTTGAAAGACAAGAGTTACAGAATGGGGGGAGGGGAGAAGGGGAGGGGGAGGGAGGCGAGAGGAGGGAGAGATGCTATCTGCTGGTTCATTCCTCAAATGGCCACAACAGCGAGTGTGGGTCAGGTCAATGCTACAAACATAATCCAGGTCTCGCACTTGGGTGGCAGCAACCCAAGGACTTGGGCCGTCTTAATCTGCTGCCTCCCAGGGTGTGCATTAGCAGGAAGCTGATGGGAAACAGAGCAGCCGGGACTCAAAACCAGCGCTCAGATGTGGGATGCTGGCATCGCGAGCAGTGGTTTAAGCCACGGCACCACAATCCCAGCCCCTCCCCTTCTGTGACCTTTGGTATTCTTTTATTTAATTTCTTCTTCCCTTCACCACTTGGTTTTTATTGAGTTTTTTATTTATTTGAAAGACACAGAGATGAAGACAGAAGTAGAGAGACAGACCAACAGACAGGCAGACAGCATCTTATTCACTGGTTACTCCCCAAATGCCCACAGTCACCAAGGCTGGGCCAGGCCAAAGTCAGGAGCTGGGAACTCAATCCAGATGTCCCACGTGGGTGGCAGGAACCCAGTTGTTGAGTATCACTTGCTGCCTCCCAGGGCCTGCATCAGTGGAAAGTTGGAACTGGGAGTAGAGCTGGACTCAAACCCGAGCACTTTAATAGAAGATGCAGGTGAATTAGCCACAAAGCCCAGCGCCTGCCATCCTGAACAAGGTCAACAATGGAAGCCACCCCACTTTCAGCCTGATCCGCAGCTTGCCCGCCACCTCTAAATGTCTAAGCGGTGCTCAATGTTCACTTGGAAAAGGCCCTCACAGCTATGATAGCCACAGCTCAATAGCAGACATGGAAATGGCGGGACCATGCTAACGTGTGACATATCTCATGCATGTTATAGACCCTTAAAATAAATTGTGGTGGGGGGGAATAATTCCCTTTTAAGAACTGTAGCATGTAACACAAGCAGATTACACAGAGAGGAAAGTCATTATTCCTAAGGGCGTTAAGTGCTTCCCCAGGCTGCCGCACTGTGCCAGCTCCCCACGGGCACACGCCCCGTAAACAGCCTTGCTTCTACAATCAGGGATGAATTAGTCCACTCGTCTTCACTACAGCCTAATACCTGAGAGGACCCGCTCATGAAGAACGAGAGGTATTTCCGTTTATGGTTTGGGAGGCTGAGCGTACCAGATCAGCAGCCCCACCAGTCTGGCATCCGCTGAACACCTGCAGGGCGAGGCTCACGTGGCGTGCCGGGATGCAGAGAGGCAGGAAGCAGGCCTTCTACCCTCTGTGTGTTCTCGCCTTCTAAGGCTCCCATGACTCAACCCTGGGACTCCTCCCTGGCAACCTACCCAAGCCAACCACTCCCCGGAGGCCCACTTTCACACTTCAGAATTGGATCAAGCCTCCACTCCACTCCATCAACCATTGGCATTAATCCGTTAATCATCCACATAAGACTCTGGGTTTTCTGCCTGAGTTTGGGGAGCCAAGTTCTGCTTAATCCATATCAAGGGGTATAAAAAAAATGAAGACACTCAAAATGCATTTGATGCTCTGGGACCCGTTGCTTCCTATAAAAGATGGATGAATGATATGGGGTTTCTTACAGAACCCACCAGAGAAGGAACAGAGCAGAAAGACCACAAGCGCCGATGGATTTCAGCTTAGCAAAAGAACTGTATCTTGGAAGCCAAACCAGACTAGGGGAGGCGGCTGCACACTTGCTTTGCATGAAGAGGTGGGTGGGACAGGAGGAGAGAGCTCGGAGGAGGTGGATGAAGAATGGGAGAGGATTTGGGGATGGGGAAAAGAGAGACAGAAGGAAGGGCTGTAAGCCGGCAGCCGCTGGGACCCACTCCGAGGCTGGCAGGCCCCCACGTGACCCAGACCCCCAACAGGGGCATCACCGCTCCCTGGAGGGCGTGCCACACAGCTGCCTGCCCGGGCACCAGCTCCCAGGAGCGTCAGTCCAAACCCAGCTGGGGCGCGGCCCCCTAGAACTTGTATTTAAATACCTGTCACTGCCTACATTTCCTCCATTCTTATTTTGTACTTAAGACAAAAGCAAGAAGTGTAACACAGAGTTATTACTTCAAAGTCAGTCAAAACTTGATGAGACACTATAATAGACCGTGTCACTCAGATCATTTCTGAAGGGGTAGCTGACTAGGAACAGCCAAAAACGTGGGAACAGGATGGAACAGAGCAGCACTGCCAAGCACGGGCTGCAATCAGACCCCCATACATGGTTGGGGCTGGGGAGGGGTGGTGCGTGCAAAATGGCCCACACTGTGGAAACAGGCTGGGCTGTCCCACAGAAAGCCTAACATAGAATTATTATGACTCAGTAATTCTACTTCAAGGTGCACACCCCAAAGAATTGAGAACAAGGAGCCCAGCACTAACTTGGGGGGTCTATGTTCATAGCAGCATCGCTCACCAAAGCCAAATGGCAACAAGAACCCAAGTGTCCACCTACAGAGGCACACAGCCACAAAATCCGGCACACACACACAGTGGAATATTATTCAGCTGTGAAAAAGCAAGTCAGACACATGCCCCAACATGGATGAACCTAAAATTCTGACAATAGGCAAAGAGAAATAAATCAAAATACAAGTATCATATAATCCTACTTACTTGAGGTAGCTGGAATCGGCAAAAGAGGTCAAAAGTCTAACAGAGGTTACCAGGAGACTGGGGGGCAGGGAGGAAGGAGAGCTATGAGTTAATTAGCACGGGGATTCTCTCTGAGATGATGGATATACTTGGTGACGACAGTGGCAAAACAATGTGAACACACTGAACGCCACTCAGTGGTGCACGTCACCGTGGCAAGTGCTGTCCTATGTTCTACCACACCAAAATGACAGCACTCCAGGAATCACTTACCTGTAGCAAAAAAAAAAAAAAAAAAAAAAAAAAAATTGTAGGAAAGGAACAGATTAGTAATTTAACAGGACTTTCCCAGTTCCTAGGCTTAGTTTTCTTTCCCAAAACAGCTAAGCAAAACTAACGTGGGATGGGCGGAGCCGGCAGTGTCGGGGATACAGATGTTCTGCCACAGCAAACAGCCTCTGTTAGTACCACACTTCATGAATGAATGAACAAAGAGGGGCTGGCATCGTGGGGCAGCAGGTTAAACTGCTGGAGTGCTGCTTTGAGTCCTGGCCCCTGCTAATGCACCTGGAAGGCAGAGGGTGATGGCCCAAGTGTCCAGGCCCCTGCCACTCCTGTGAGAGACCAGGATGGAGCTCCTGGCTCCTGGCTTCAGCCTGGTACAGCCCTGGCTCTTGTGGCCATTTAGAAGTAAACTAGTAGATGAAAGATTTCTCTCTTCCTGTCATTCTGCCTTTTAATAAATAAATTTTTAAAGATTTATTTACGTATTTGAAAGGCAGAGTTACGGAGAGACAGAGGCAGAGAGAGATTTCATCTGCTGGTTCACTCCCTAAATGGCCGCAACAGCCAGAGCTGAGCCATCTGAAGCCAGGAGCCTGGAGCTTCTTCCAGGTCTCCCATGTGGGTGCAGGGGCCCAAGGACTTGGGCCATCTTCTACTACTTTCCCAGGCCACAGTAGAGAGCTGGATCAGAAGTGGAACAGCCAGGACTCAAACTGGCAACCATATGAGATGCTGGCACTGCAGACAGTGGCTTTACCCACTACACCACAATGCAGGCCCCAAAAATAAACTTAAAAGATAAATAAGGAAACACTTTCTTTCATGAAAAAAAAAATGTCTATAGCAACTGCTGGGCCCTGGGTGAAGATAACCTGTGCCCATGTCAGGTGAAGGTGGGAACAGCCCTTGCCTGCCCAGTTCTGGGTCTGAGGTCTGGGCCAACATCTTACCCTGAATGTCTGCTCCATTTTCTCCCTGTGGGACACCTGATCCAGGGTGCCATCTGTCTGGCTCCTTTTCAGACCAGTTGGAATGTCAGGGACGTTGCTGAAATCTGCAGGGAAAATGACAAGGATATGCATGAGATCAGTCATTGAGAGAGAGGGGTCATGACGGGACCAAAGGCTCAGACAGAGACAGGAAAGCAAGAGACAACCTACAACCCCGTAGGCGGCTCCGAGGGCCCCTCATGCCCTCAGGGAGGTACGACCTGCACACGCTGTCTTATGAAACAGGGTCCTGCTCACTGAAGAAACAACATCCTGTTTGGTCAAAGGAGACCAATGAAAATAATTACTGAAATGCTTTGTCACTCTTCCCATTGCTGCACAAACCAGATCTCCCAAAGCACTGCTCTCCAATAATATATTTGAACCAAGAATCAAATTGCAGTGACTTTTGGTGGTATTTCCCTAGGGTGGGCTGAGGGCAAAATTGCAAGGGACATTATAGAAAACCAGTGGTGTCATATCATAGATACTTATTGCCACCCACAACTTGATCATTCTGCAAGCAACGCTCTCTTTTTTGCAACAATCACAATTTCATTCTAAACCTAAAGTCCCAGGGGAAAAAGTAAACTCTTGTGAGCAGAGGTTCAAAAATAATATTAAAAGTACCTAGCGCATGCAGGTTTCCAGCCTACGGCTACACACACACACCCTTCTCAATAGTTCTAGCCACTGTTTCTCAAGTTAACAAGTTCAAGAGCAATGCCCCTTTTCTCTCTCTCAGCACCAGGCACCAACCACCTGTACCCTTCTCCTCCTCTGCCCCCAGCTCCTGGGTACAGCTGATGCCCCACCTACCTCCAGGGGCTCAACGATTACTTGGCAGACAAAAGCCACATCAAGGGGTACGTGCCCTCACCAGCAGATGTGGCAGTAGTGGCCTCTAGCCCACCGCCTGCCGACTGTGTCACGCCCTACACCAAAGAATCACATCAAGTCTAAGGAATAGGAAAAGGCCAGCCCGGCAGGAGTGATAAAAAGCTTGGGGCCAGGATGGCCCTGTCGATGTGTTAGACACCACAGGAAGTGGAGCTACAGAGAGCAAAGATGGTGACGACACTGACCTCTTTGGAGAGCAGGAGGAGGAGGGGGAGGAAGAGGAGGAGAGTGAAGAGGCAATGAGGCTGAGCGAAAAACAACTCGTGTGGAATGCGTCAAAGGAAGCCAAAAAACCCAGACGTGTTCCCAAGTCTCATCTCACTAGATTGGAACCTTGGGATGATGAGACGCATACGGCAAAACTGGAAGACAGAATCTTAAGTATTCGAGTAGATGGCTCTAATCTACTCCCGTGGGGTACAGAATTGAAAAGCTTCAAATGCAGCGTGTCGTTGACGATGGCAAACTGGGGACACAGATGCTGCAGGAACAGACCACGGCTTTGAGGGACTACGTACAATCCAGGGATGTGGCTGCTCTCAGCAAGATCGAAAATCCATCCAGGATCATTTCACTTCAAAAAAGAAGCTTGGAAGATGAAGAAACAAAATCAAGAGCAGTGGAAAGAGCACTCCACCAACATACAACCCAAGTCTTCATCCCAAGTCTGGCACTGGATAGACTGTTGCTCAACTAGGTGAAACTAGATGGCTTCCAAAGCCAGTTGGTTCCAACCAGAAGTCAAGGTGAGGGGATCTAAGCTCCAAAAGCATGGAGAGATGTGCGGGCAAAGAAACCGCCCAGCTGGACAGGGCAAGAAGGCGGCCTCCGGAAGCCATTTAAAAGCTCTGAGATCCTGGGGGGGCAACACAGCTGAGAGACAGCAACACCAACCCATGATGACCTGCTCTGCCCACCACGACACAGGCTCTTCCAAGACAGGAGGAGGCTGCCAGCGAAACACCTCGATGGACAACGTAACTGCAGCTCTGGCTTCTTCCTCCTTTCTCTTCCAACACCCTGCTCCCGCCCAGAGAGTCTAAGCTACACTTCAGTGTTGCTGATGAGCAGTCACTGGGGAAATGTCAGGTAGTAATGACAGGCGAGGATCCTGGCACTGGCCTCCTGCAGTCCCTGGAAGCCACATCACACAGGCGATTCACTCAGCGGCAGGCTGGGAAGTAAGATCAAACTCCACACCAAAAGTGACCCTCACTACCTCCTGACTCCTGCGTGCACACCATTGTTTAAGAGAGATCAAACTAAACAACACAGCCTCATCCCTGTGGCGGTCGGCACTTGCACCCATCTATTCAACATGCACTTGTTAAACACAAGCACGGCGCTAGGAACACAGGGACGAGCGAGACGCTCTCAAGGTTTCTGCTGGTTTTGTTTTCTGTTGCTAATGACAGAATCTCACAGACTGGGCAAACGATAAAGCGCTCTGATCTCTCTCCCTCTTCAGTCATGGGGGCCCCATGCAGACAACGTTATCTAACCCTAATCATCTCCAGAGGTGTGTTCCCACCCATACACACCCCGTTTCCAGCTTCACAATGGGGATTTGACCCCAACATGAGTTTCCACAGGGAAACTACAGAGATTTCTGCCTCTGGTCTGGGCAGAGGTCCGTGGTGAGGGAGGGGAAGAAGGAGATGAGTAGGACAAAGTGTCACAGATGACATGGGACAAGGCCACACAGGGATGAGTGAGTTCCCTGTGGGCCTTAAAAGACTTCCTAGAAAGGAGGCACTTAAGGGGGCCAGCATTATGCCGTAGCATGTTAAGCCACTGACTGCGACACACAGCATCCTATATGCATGCCAGTTCGAGTCCTGGCTGCTCCACTTCTCATCCAGCTCCCTGTTATTGTGCCTGGGAAAGCAGTGGAAGATGATCCTGGCTCCAGCCTGGCCCAGCCCTGGCCATTGCAGCCATTTGGTGAGTGTAGCGGCAGATGGAAGGTCTGTCAATCTGCCTTTCAAACAAATAAATAAATAAATCTTTTTTAAAAATAAAAGGAGACATTTGAGTCAAGCCTTGAAATCTAAGGGACATTTGCCTGTCTTCAAAGCTGAGGACGGGGCCAGTGTGTGGTGTGGTGGGTTAAACCGCCATCTGCAATGCCAGCATCTCATATGAGCACTGGTTTGTGTCCCGGCTGCTCCACTTCTGATTCAGCTCTCTGCTAATGTGCCTTGGAAAGCAGTGGAAGATGGCCCAAGTACTTTGGCCCCTAAACCCAAAATGGAGACCTGGAAGAAGCTCCTGGATCCTGGCTTTGGTCTGGCCCAGCCAGAAGAGTGTTCCAGCTAATGGAAGACACCTCCCTTTGTCTCTCTTTCTCTCTCTGTAACTGCCTTTTGAATAAATAAAATAAATCTTTCTTTTAAAAAACGATGAAGAGACAAGACAAGGTGGGCAGTGGAGACTGGGGGTTCCATGAATGGGAAGCAACAGGGTAAAAGCAAGGGGTGTGATGAGCCAGGCAGAGTCAGGAATTTGTTGATTGTGGCTGTGAAAGACAGTAGAGCCGGGAGAAGAGGGGGCCCAGGATGGAGCAATGCATGGAGGGCAGGAGCTTGGCAGAGAGGGCGGGTCAGAAAGTCGCAGTGACACAGCAGGTGCGAGGCGCAAGGACCCACAAGAACAGACTAGAGCAGCAGCGCTCATGTGAGCAATGGCAGAGTCAGTGGAGGCAGACTCCGGGAGTCACTGGAGAGGGGCTGGGAGAGCCCTGGTGTCTGTGTCTCGGCGCTGGGTAGACGGGGAGCGCGGGAAGGGTAGGAGTGGGGATGACAAGCCTACTAAAGTCGGCAAAGCTGAGTCCGGGATACATCCATGCCATTCAGGGCACATGGCCAGCGGTCAGGAGCCCAGGGTCCAAGCCCAGTCCCAGCGATTTGGAAATTCTAAGAATACACCCGCAGAGAAGGTGCAGAGTACATGTAAGATTTAGGCAAGAGAGGAACAGGGGCCGAGACTCTGAAACGCTGGCTAGCTTGAGCTTGCTTCTCAGAGGACATTACAGGAAAGCACAGCTTACGACACCACACTCAGAAAGGGCCAGCCCAGCACTAACAAGGGAAGCAGCGAGCGACCAACCTCGAGTGCAGTCTGGAACATTCCACAGCTGCAGACGCGCACGGCAGAGGAAAGGACCCTGCACGCCCCGCTCCTGCATGCCAGACACGCCCGCGGTCCTTGCTCCAACGGCCCCTGTAGATTTCTTCGCAGAGAAGCAGCCTTTAGGGCACAGCACTTTCCCACTAACTCCTTGGCTTGGCCAAGCAACTCTCACTTCAGCTGATTATCTGCCCAAACCCCAGGGTTGCTTAGGCTGATTATCTATCTGCCCAAACCCTGGGCAGACCCCAGGGGTCAGCCACTAAAGCCAACAGGATGGACGGCACCCAGCAGAGACTGGGCAGAGGGAGCCAGGAGGAGGGCCAAGGGGAGAACTCCAGCAGCGCCAGTGCACACAAGGTGGAGGAGGGGAGGGTCTCTCACCTCTGTGTCCACAGAGAAAGGGACCACACAGTGTCAAAGGACATCACCTGGGAATGGGGATCAAACGTGCACAACTGCTGTCCACCTGTAACCAGTGAGCAGGTGCTTCCCTATTTCCCAAGAATTACATCAAGGACAGGAAACGCGACAGGAAGCCACACCTGCGCTGACTCATGGCGATGCCCATGGCGCCACTCCACAGCGGGCAGGTATGAAGTCCTGCACACAGAGGACCCCTCGACCAGACCACCTCGAGCGCATGAGGAGCTCTGAGATGACGGGGCAGGGGAGCCTCGGAGCCTGGCGGATGCCCCAGACAATGGCGACATCCACGGTGGGTACCGGGGTAACGCCGAGTCAGCCCGTCAGTGTGTTCCCGAAACTCTGCAGCTTAGGTACCGAAAACTCTGCAAACCACGGCTTGCCTCTTACAAAGGGGAGCTCGTGTTTTCCGAGAAGACAGCTTGTGATGCAGGCAAGCAAGAGAAGAACCGTGGGGTTCACCTGATCTCAGGACACCCGACTCCTCCCTGTCAGCAGCCTGCCTGCCCCAGGGTAAAAGGCTCACCTGGGATCTGCAAGGGCACCCCACCACCCCTCAGCCTCCCAGACTCCAGGGAGGCTCTGGGTGCTGCTGGGCCCCAGACCTGAG